ATATAACATAGCTTTAAAACCAGTTGAAAAGACTTTGTGCATAATACTGACACGACTTTGGACTGTGGACACGAGACAGACATCGACGACACGACTTCGTATTTGAACCAGTGTGGACACGAGACAGACATCGACGACACGACTTCGTATTTGAACCAGTGTGGACACGGACAGACATCGACGACACGACTTCGTATCTGAACCAGTGTGGACACGAGACAGACATCGACGACACGACTTCGTATCTGAACCAGTGTGGACATCAGACAGACATCGACGACACGACTTCGTATCTGAACCAGTGTGGACACGGGACAGACATCGACGACCAACATCGACGACACAACTTCGTATCTGAACCAGTGTGGACACGGGACAGACATCGACGACACGACTTCGTATCTGAACCAGTGTGGACACGGACAGACATCGACGACACGACTTCGTATCTGAACCAGTGTGGACACGAGACAGACATCGACGACACGACTTCGTATCTGAACCAGTGTGGACACGAGACAGACATCGACGACACGACTTCGTATCTGAACCAGTGTGGACACGGGACAGACATCGACGACCAACATCGACGACACAACTTCGTATCTGAACCAGTGTGGACACGGAACAGACATCGACGACACGACTTCGTATCTGAACCAGTGTGGACACGGAACAGACATCGACGACACGACTTCATATCTGAACCAGTGTGGACACGGGACAGACATCGACGACACGACTTCGTATCTGAACCAGTGTGGACACGGGACAGACATCGACGACCAACATCGACGACACAACTTCGTATCTGAACCAGTGTGGACACGGGACAGACATCGACGACACGACTTCATATCTGGACCAGTGTGGACACGGACAGACATCGACAACACGACTTCGTATCTGAACCAGTGTGGACATGGGACAGACATCGACGACCAACATCGACGACACAACTTCGTATCTGAACCAGTGTGGACACGGAACAGACATCGACGACACGACTTCATATCTGAACCAGTGTGGACACGGGACAGACATCGACGACACGACTTCATATCTGAACCAGTGTGGACACAGACAGACATCGACGACCCGTCTTCATATATGAACCAGTGTGGACACGGACAGACATCGACGACACGACTTCGTATCTGAACCAGTGTGGACACGGACAGACATCGACGACACGACTTCGTATCTGAACCAGTGTGGACACGAGACAGACATCGACGACACGACTTCGTATCTGAACCAGTGTGGACACGAGACAGACATCGACGACACGACTTCGTATCTGAACCAGTGTGGACACCAGACAGACATCGACGACCAACATCGACGACACAACTTCGTATCTGAACCAGTGTGGACACGGAACAGACATCGACGACACGACTTCGTATCTGAACCAGTGTGGACACGGAACAGACATCGACGACTCGACTTCGTATCTGAACCAGTGTGGACACCAGACAGACATCGACGACCAACATCGACGACACAACTTCGTATCTGAACCAGTGTGGACACGGAACAGACATCGACGACACGACTTCATATCTGAACCAGTGTGGACACAGACAGACATCGACGACTCGACTTCGTATCTGAACCAGTGTGGACACGGACAGACATCGACGACACGACTTCGTATCTGAACCAGTGTGGACACCAGACAGACATCGACGACCAACATCGACGACACGACTTCGTATCTGAACCAGTGTGGACACGGAACAGACATCGACGACACGACTTCGTATCTGAACCAGTGTGGACACGGAACAGACATCGACGACACGACTTCGTATCTGAACCAGTGTGGACACGGAACAGACATCGACGACTCGACTTCGTATCTGAACCAGTGTGGACACGGGACAGACATCGACGACCAACATCGACGACACAACTTCGTATCTGAACCAGTGTGGACACGGAACAGACATCGACGACACGACTTCATATCTGAACCAGTGTGGACACAGACAGACATCGACGACTCGACTTCGTATCTGAACCAGTGTGGACACGGACAGACATCGACGACACGACTTCGTATCTGAACCAGTGTGGACACCAGACAGACATCGACGACCAACATCGACGACACAACTTCGTATCTGAACCAGTGTGGACACGGAACAGACATCGACGACACGACTTCGTATCTGAACCAGTGTGGACACGGAACAGACATCGACGACACGACTTCATATCTGAACCAGTGTGGACACGGGACAGACATCGACGACACGTCTTCATATCTGAACCAGTGTGGACACGGGACAGACATCGACGACACGACTTCATATCTGGACCAGTGTGGACACGGACAGACATCGACAACACGACTTCGTATCTGAACCAGTGTGGACACGAGACAGACATCGACGACACGACTTCGTATCTGAACAAGTGTGGACACGAGACAGACATCGACGACACGACTTCGTATCTGAACCAGTGTGGACACCAGACAGACATCGACGACCAACATCGACGACACAACTTCGTATCTGAACCAGTGTGGACACGGAACAGACATCGACGACACGACTTCGTATCTGAACCAGTGTGGACACGAGACAGACATCGACGACTCGACTTCGTATCTGAACCAGTGTGGACACGGACAGACATCGACGACACGACTTCGTATCTGAACCAGTGTGGACACCAGACAGACATCGACGACCAACATCGACGACACAACTTCGTATCTGAACCAGTGTGGACACGGAACAGACATCGACGACACGACTTCATATCTGAACCAGTGTGGACACAGACAGACATCGACGACTCGACTTCGTATCTGAACCAGTGTGGACACGGACAGACATCGACGACACGACTTCGTATCTGAACCAGTGTGGACACCAGACAGACATCGACGACCAACATCGACGACACAACTTCGTATCTGAACCAGTGTGGACACGGAACAGACATCGACGACACGACTTCGTATCTGAACCAGTGTGGACACGGAACAGACATCGACGACACGACTTCATATCTGAACCAGTGTGGACACGGGACAGACATCGACGACACGTCTTCATATCTGAACCAGTGTGGACACGGGACAGACATCGACGACACGACTTCATATCTGGACCAGTGTGGACACGGACAGACATCGACAACACGACTTCGTATCTGAACCAGTGTGGACACGGAACAGACATCGACGACACGACTTCATATCTGAACCAGTGTGGACACGGGACAGACATCGACGACACGACTTCATATCTGAACCAGTGTGGACACAGACAGACATCGACGACACGTCTTCATATCTGAACCAGTGTGGACACGGGACAGACATCGACGACCAACATCGACGACACAACTTCGTATCTGAACCAGTGTGGACACGGGACAGACATCGACGACACGACTTCATATCTGGACCAGTGTGGACACGGACAGACATCGACAACACGACTTCGTATCTGAACCAGTGTGGACACGGGACAGACATCGACGACCAACATCGACGACACAACTTCGTATCTGAACCAGTGTGGACACGGGACAGACATCGACATCCAACATCGACGACACGACTTTGGATATGTACCAGTGTGGACACAGGACACAGGACAGACACCAGTGTGTACACAGGACATGCATCTATGACAATACGACGCTGTTCCTCAAACCAGTTTTTGTTTGTGGGGTTTATCGCCCTGTGGGGAGGGTAGCACATCTTGTTATTTAGAAAAATGTATTGTCCAAGGACACAACCACGCCCACACGAGACTGTCCAATGACACAACCACGCCCACACGAGACGGCACCCTTGCTCATCTTCCTAGAAAACGACCACACGAGACTGTCCAATGACACAACCACGCCCACACGAGACGGCACCTGATCTCATCTTCCTAGAAAACGACCACAGGGACTACCCAAGGACACAACCATGCCCTTACGAGACTGTCCAAGGATATAATCACGCCTACACGAGACTGTCCAATGATATAACCGCGCCCATACGAGACTGTCCAAGGATATAATCACGCCTACACGAGACTGTCCAATGACATAACCGCGCCCATACGAGAATGTCCAAGGACACTACCACGTCCACACGAGACGGCACCTGATCTCATCTTCCTAACAATACACAAACCTTGCCAATCACAGATAATGAATCACATACCTCGGTTCTCAGACTGAGTATTTTTTATTTATCGTAATATGGATCTATTTAAAATAGCGAATAATGAAAAGGTGAATTAAGTTTCGAATAATGGTAATTAGACAATACAATGTAATTTTAGTGTCTATAATTTTACTGGGTGGGGCTTCTGTACTACGCTGTTTTTATATGCCTTTAATCTTTAAATGTCAGTCACACCGATATTTTGCAGGTCAGTATATTTTGACATCACTTGGATAGAAACATGAATCGATTCGACAAGGTTATTAAAACTGTTCTCTGTATTTTGCTCAGGAGTAGAAATAAATATTTGTAAGCCAGTCCCTCCTCGTCCACGAGTATAGAGAACATGTTTCCGTGCTGATATTGCATTTCATATGTAAACACAACAAAGAAAATGAGTATGACATGTACTTTTTAATACAAGCTATTTCAAAGATTTTTAAGGTGTATAAAAGAGAAATCATATAGTATACAAGACATTCAGTTTCAATCGCAATATTATATTTGTAAAGAACAAAAAAACTTCACACATTTTGTTTATCGATTGGAAATTTCAATGATGAGGTAAACACAACCAATGTGCTTTGATAATGTTATCAGGCCTTAATATCATCACATGAAGATGGCCGTAGGGTCTGGTAGTGAAACAATGATTTACTGCGTTGACTTTATTCAAGTATCATATCGATGTATACGTTTAACGTTCTAATTTTAATATTTTCTAAAGATCAGTACAAGGTTGCCTTGTCATCGAATGCCCTGTCAAAATATCCTTTCTCTACCCATGTAACTTGTTTATCAAAGTCTTTATGTGTCAATCAAGTGCATTACAAATAGCCTCAAGCAAGTCGTCAACACCATCATCTGCTACCGTGACGTCGTCAGAACATGTCCTTTCAATTTTCTTTAGAACCATCATATAAAATCTTACTTTTTTATCAATTGGTCCGCCAGTTGGTCTGGGTCCGCCTGTTGGTCTGGGCTTTCCAGTTGGTCTGGGTCCGCCTGTTGGTCTGGGCTTTCCAGTTGGTCTGGGTCCGCCTGTTGGTCTGGGTCTCCCAGTTGGAGTCGGCCCATCGTCGCTGTCGTCATTAATTATCCTGCAGACTACGTCTATGATATCGCCAACTGGTCGTCCATCTATGACGTTGATAGTGTCGATTGCATCGTTTTCACACACGTCTGTGAGGGCAGATACTACATACTCCAAGAAACGCCCTCTACCACCAGGACCTCTTCGTTTTTCTGTTCCCTCGTCGTCACCATTTTCCAATTTGTTGCAAATTTCTTCTATGATGACACGTGCCGGTCCCTGTCTATTGTCCGATTTCCCGAGACCCTTGCATGCCTTCCTTAATAAGTCTAAGGCACGCGTTACCTGCTCCTTAAGATCCACCGGCTTTGGTTTACGTCTCTTCTCCATGCCGCCATTCTTTCCTTCAACTGGTTCACTAGTCGGTTCTGGGCGATTCGTTGGTGTCGGGCCACCGGTTGGTTCTACTCCGCTGTCATCTATGATACCACAGGCTATGTCTAATATTTCCTCCACTAGCTTGCCTCCTATATCACCACGCTTTGTCTCGAGGACGCGATCCATGCAAACGTCACTTAGTGCAATTAACGTTTTCTGGAATAAGCGGCCCACCTTGTCACCTGGTTGTTTTTTGCGCTTTACTTCAGGAGCTGTTTTGTCATCGTCATCATCATCGTCATCATCATCATCATCATCATCATCATCATCACCTTTTAAGGCTTGACAAATCTCCTCGATAACAACACGTGCCGGACCTTGTCCCTCGTTAGACTTTTCAATGGTCTTACACGACTTTTTCAACAAGGTTAAAGCAAGCTTAACTAAATCGTCTGGTACGCCAGTTGGTTTTGGTCCTCCAGTTGGTTTGGGTCTTCCGGTTGGCTTTGGTCCTCCCGTTGGGTTCGGTCCTCCAGTTGGTGTCGGTCCGCCTTCATCATTAATTATCATACATACCATATCCATCATATCTGCGACAGGTCTGCCACCTATTTTCATGTTTAGACTATCGATGGCATCGTTTCCACACAGTTTTTCGAAGGCAGCTAGGGTCTTCTTAAATAATTCATCCTTGCCTTTTTTGCGTGTTTCTTCTATGATAATGTCGGCATCGAAGGCACTAGCTTTATCTAATGCATTACATATTTCTTCTATAATGTCACGTTCCGGTCCTTGTCCAGCTGTCGACTTTTTGATAGTCTTACACGATTTCTGAAGTAGACCGAAAGCCTTCTTAACTTGCTTTTTAAGCTTTTTCGGGTTTGGTTTACGTCTTTTCTCCATCTCTTCTTCTGGTCCTGATTCTCCATCATCGCCATCACTGTCGTCATCATTGAAAACAGAACAAATATCCTCGAACGTTTGTTTTAACGAGACAGGAAGGCCGTCGAAATTGGCACTAACGCAAACTCTCTCCACTGTTTCTAGTAAACGCGGAATAGCCTCGCCATCGCCATTCCTACCACCACGGACATCAAGTTTGTCATCCTTATCATCTGCAGTTTGTCCAGCTGGATGCAAGATATTTCTGAGTGCCTCCTCGTTGGCCTTGTCAGTGAGCACGCGCAGTAATCTCTGGAGGAGTTCCTTGTCTGCTTCATGTGATTGGACAGAATAGGCTGCCTGAATCAACAGGCAAGCCAAGAAGCTCAGTTCAGCAAGACGCCTCATATCTGAAAAAGAAAGAAATTCTGTTACTCTGTAAGACAGAGTAGTAACACAATTCACAACCAGCAGACGCTACTGTATGATCTATCTGACGTCACTAAGGAGTAGGCGTGTTACTGTATTATATAACCTATCTGACGTCACTAAGGAGTAGGCGTGTTACTGTATTATATAACCTATCTGACGTCACTAAGGAGTAGGCGTGTTACTGTATTATATAACCTGTCTGACGTCACTAAGGATGAGCCGTGTTACTGTATTATATAACCTGTCTGACGTCACTAAGGAGTAGGCGTGTTACTGTATTATATAACCTATCTGACGTCACTAAGGAGTAGGCGTGTTACTGTATTATATAACCTATCTGATGTCACTAAGGAGTAGGCATGTTACTGTATTATATAACCTATCTGACGTCACTAAGGAGTAGGCGTGTTACTGTATTATATAACCTATCTGATGTCACTAAGGAGAAGGCATGTTACTGTATTATATAACCTATCTGATGTCACTAAGGAGTAGGTGTGTTACACTAAGGAGTAGGCGTGTTACTGTATTATATAACCTATCTGATGTCACTAAGGAGAAGGCATGTTACTGTATTATATAACCTATCTGATGTCACTAAGGAGTAGGTGTGTTACTGTATTATATAACCTATCTGACGTCACTAAGGAGTAGGCGTGTTACTGTATTATATAACCTATCTGATGTCACTAAGGAGTAGGCATGTTACTGTATTATATAACCTATCTGACGTCACTAAGGAGTAGGCGTGTTACTGTATTATATAACCTATCTGACGTCACTAAGGAGTAGGCGTGTTACTGTATTATATAACCTATCTGACGTCACTAAGGATATGTTACTGTATTATATAACCTATCTGACGTCACTAAGGAGTAGGCGTGTTACTGTATTATATAACCTATCTGACGTCACTAAGGAGTAGGCGTGTTACTGTATTATATAACCTATCTGATGTCACTAAGGAGAAGGCATGTTACTGTATTATATAACCTATCTGATGTCACTAAGGAGTAGGCGTGTTACTGTATTATATAACCTATCTGACGTCACAAAGGAGTAGGTGTGTTACTGTATTATATAACCTATCTGATGTCACTAAGGAGTAGGTGTGTTACTGTATTATAGGACCTATCTGATGTCACTAAGGAGTAGGCGTGTTACTGTATTATATAACCTATCTGATGTCACTAAGGAGAAGGCATGTTACTGTATTATATAACCTATCTGACGTCACTAAGGAGTAGGCATGTTACTGTATTATATAACCTATCTGACGTCACTAAGGAGAAGGCATGTTACTGTATTATATAACCTATCTGATGTCACTAAGGAGTAGGCGTGTTACTGTATTATATAACCTGTCTGACGTCACTAAGGAGTAGGCGTGTTACTGTATCATAGGACCTATCTGACGCCACAAAGGAGTAGGTCTGTTACTATATTATATAACCTGTCTGACGTCACTAAGGATGAGCCGTGTTACTGTATTATATAACCTATCTGACGTCACTAAGGAGTAGGTGTGTTACTGTATTATATAACCTATCTGACGTCACTAAGGATGAGCCGTGTTACTGTATTATATAACCTATCTGACGTCACTAAGGAGTAGGTGTGTTACTGTATCATAGGACCTATCTGACGCCACAAAGGAGTAGGTCTGTTACTATATTATATAACCTGTCTGACGTCACTAAGGATGAGCCGTGTTACTGTATTATATAACCTATCTGACGTCACTAAGGAGTAGGTGTGTTACTGTATTATATAACCTATCTGACCTCACTAAGGATGAGCCGTGTTACTGTATTATATAACCTATCTGACGTCACTAAGGAGTAGGTGTGTTACTGTATCATAGGACCTATCTGACGCCACAAAGGAGTAGGTCTGTTACTATATTATATAACCTGTCTGACGTCACTAAGGATGAGCCGTGTTACTGTATTATATAACCTATCTGACGTCACTAAGGAGTAGGTGTGTTACTGTATTATATAACCTATCTGACGTCACTAAGGATGAGCCGTGTTACTGTATTATATAACCTATCTGACGTCACTAAGGAGTAGGTGTGTTACTGTATTATATAACCTATCTGATGTCACTAAGGAGAAGGCATGTTACTGTATTATATAACCTATCTGACGTCACTAAGGAGTAGGCGTGTTACTGTATTATATAACCTATCTGATGTCACTAAGGAGTAGGCGTGTTACTGTATTATATAACCTATCTGATGTCACTAAGGAGAAGGCATGTTACTGTATTATATAACCTATCTGACGTCACTAAGGAGTAGGCGTGTTACTGTATTATATAACCTATCTGACGTCACTAAGGAGTAGGTGTGTTACTGTATTATATAACCTATCTGATGTCACTAAGGATGAGCCGTGTTACTGTATTATATAACCTGTCTGACGTCACTAAGGATGAGCCGTGTTACTGTATTATATAACCTATCTGACGTCACTAAGGAGTAGGCGTGTTACTGTATTATATAACCTATCTGACGTCACTAAGGAGTAGGCGTGTTACTGTATTATATAACCTATCTGACGTCACTAAGGAGTAGGCGTGTTACTGTATTATATAACCTATCTGACGTCACTAAGGAGTAGGCGTGTTACTGTATTATATAACCTATCTGACGTCACTAAGGAGTAGGTGTGTTACTGTATTATATAACCTATCTGACGTCACTAAGGAGAAGGCATGTTACTGTATTATATAACCTATCTGACGTCACTAAGGAGTAGGCGTGTTACTGTATTATATAACCTATCTGACGTCACTAAGGAGTAGGCGTGTTACTGTATCATAGGACCTATCTGACGTCACTAAGGAGTAGGCGTGTTACTGTATTATATAACCTATCTGACGTCACTAAGGAGTAGGCGTGTTACTGTATTATATAACCTGTCTGACGTCACTAAGGAGTAGGCGTGTTACTGTATTATATAACCTATCTGATGTCACTAAGGAGAAGGCATGTTACTGTATTATATAACCTATCTGACGTCACAAAGGAGTAGGTGTGTTACTGTATTATATAACCTATCTGATGTCACTAAGGAGTAGGTCTGTTACTATATTATATAACCTATCTGATGTCACTAAGGAGAAGGCATGTTACTGTATTATATAACCTATCTGATGTCACTAAGGAGTAGGCGTGTTACTGTATTATATAACCTATCTGATGTCACTAAGGAGTAGGTGTGTTACTGTATTATATAACCTGTCTGACGTCACTAAGGAGTAGGCGTGTTACTGTATTATAGGACCCATCTGACGTCACTAAGGAATTGGTGTGCTACTGTATAGCTATATATCACCTATCTGACGTCACTAACGGGTAGTGTTGTGTGATGGTATGATTGTTAGTACATCTCCGATTCGTGAATGTGTATACATTTAACTCTGAATGGTAGGTAAGAATTTTAATCACAATCGATCTTGGAGTCTTGCTTTTCCTTACTGAACTTTAAGTACTTTGTGTACCTATAGGATTGTGTGTAATACCTATACATAATATTTTATAGTTGGTCAGTTTTCCTATTAACAGAACAATAAAACCTGTCCAAGTACGGGTCGTAGACAACAGTTACAATAGGCACTGAACATTCCAGATAATTATATAACTTATAGTTGTGTATTACGTCAGGTACTACAGCATGTCTCGTGTGTACAGGTCACCAGATACCACAAGCATTTATACGTTTTGTTTCATTTTTCTTTGTATGAAAAGAAAAGAAAACACCATTAAACAACAGTTGTGGAGTTCTGTTTCAATAGCAAAACCTAACGGTATACAAGCATCAGGTAAACGGAAACAGATTTAAATCAATAGATACCAACAATTCATGTAAATATCGTAAATATTACACCGGCGGTGACGCTGAATGCGAAACAAGTTAATATCGTAAATATTACACCGGCGGTGACGCTGAATGCGAAACAAGTTAATATCGTAAATGTTACACCAGCGGTGACGCTGAATGCGAAACAAGTTAATATCGTAAATATTACACAGGCGGTGACGCTGAGTGCGAAACAAGTTAATATCGTAAATGTTACACCAGCGGTGACGCTGAATGCGAAACAAGTAAATATCATAAATATTACACAGGCGGTGACGCTGAGTGCGAAACAAGTTAATATCGTTAATATTACACAGGCGGTGACGCCGAGTGCGAAACAAGTTAATATCGTTAATATTACACAGGCGGTGACGCTAAGTGCGAAACAAGTTAATATCGTAAATGTTACACCAGCGGTGACGCTGAATGCAATAGATAAATAGTAAATGCGATACTGGATACAGAAGGACGTAGCTAACAACAGTGTCTTTCTTGTACATTATAATAATCTAATAAATAAAAAAAGGCATTTAAAAATGATTTTATATTTAATTTATTAGCTACTATTTCACAAAATGTCTCACAAAAAGAGAATTTTCCAGCCTCAAACATTTACCTTTTCAGATTTTCGTAATTTGCTTTGCAAAATAAAGATATTGCCAGCAGAACAAACCGGAGGGGAAAAGTTAATCATTCAGAAATCCTCATTCAGATATCTACCTGTCTGTTTCTGACTAACTACTTGATATAAAATCTACAGGTACATCAGCAAGTGTAACGTATGTAATCATATTTACGCTACAGACAGAGGACAAACATTGTTTAATGGTAATTACACATCAGTACAACAGTCAGCTATGCGTTTGAACGGTATTCCAACGTTCAGTTTAAAACTTGCTGCGAAGGGGAGTTCTGATTGCGGTCAGCTGCTAACTTTCCGTTGGACTTTTTTCTATGGAGTAGATCTAAATTCAGTCTAATTGTAGCCCAACAAACTTGCTGTATTCAGCAATCTCAATGGTAAGACTCTGGTGTCTAGTATTTGGTTTGTTGGTTTTTTTTGTGTGTTTTTTCGGGAATGCGCTATTTTGTCATATTTCGATAGTT